CATCATAATGTAAATATTAAGTAGAGAAAATTAACGAACATTTATAATTATATCGAACTGAATGCACATTAAAAATAATATAAGTTTATCAGTCTATAAAATCATATATGAAACTTCTTGATTCGAGTTGGCTCCCAAATTTCAGCAGAATCATTTAATAAACAGTTATCTTAATTAATGAATATTTACTCGAAACATATTGAAATTGATTACTCAAACAACTATTGTATGTAAATAGCTATGATTCTTTAAAAATAACATTGCATACTTCATAATAATGAATATAATTGATCGACTTTTACAATATTCATACTGAAGAAATCTTATTTTAAATTTATCGTATATAAAAATAGCCTTTATGTTTTATTTCATAGATACGAACATACTATTTACTTTGCTTTTCTTTATTATACTCCTGTTCGTTCTTATCTAATATATTTGAATTACATGCATCTGTTAGTTTTAATTTATTATGTATGTTTCGAATATTTCAATGATACTTATCACTTTCTAGGTATTTTGATTAATGATGGATGGGTGATATCGTTCGTTTTTTTAGCTAGTAAAATACCGGCTTTCATTGCTGTTTCATGTATGTACATTCTTTCTTTTGAGTTTTTTAAATCGTCAACTAAACAAGCATTATATATTTGTCGAATAGAAATTGAAAGACGATTCCAGGGTAAAACATCAAATGTTATTTGCTTAGTTTGAATAGCTTTTAATGCCTGATAAGTTTGTTTTAATAACCAATAATTATTATTTATTAAAACACTATGACCACATCGTTCTTTTAATCGAATTGATTCTGATCGAGTAAAAATATTTATAAAACTATCAATATTATATACATAGAATGCTAAATATACAAATGAATAAAACAAAAATAACATAATCGTACTATAGGCCTACGCGCTTATTATTAGTATTTCTTTTGGTATGATTAATGCAACAAAAATTCAATCTAAAATTACTAAGAAATCATAGAAAAGAAAAACTAATGAGAAGACCCAAAGCAACCATTAGAAAAGTAAAGAAATGATTGTTGTATAATCAACATAAAAATATAAGTAATCATAATATACGATCTATTAGACTTTTAAATGAGATGTCCGATTTGACATCGCGTGATTATAAATGAATATTCTTCGAGAATAACGTTCAGTAGAAGACAAAAAACATAAAAGAACAATGACTAAAGTTCTGTTGTTGATCAATCACTATATAAAATGCGACAATCGTAGACGTCATTTCCTTCCCGATTTTTCTTTTGTTGTGCATTTATAAATCAATCGATTTCCTGCATTTGATCAAAGAAATATTTTTCTGAATAATACCGTAACAAACACATATTCTTTATATGTTATTAAATTACCATGTCTAAAAGTTTTATTCAATATTTTTTCTTTCTAACTTTTTTTCTTCATGATATGATATTTATATTGTAGATTAAAACGAACAGAAATGGATGCTGATGCACTTATATCATGTGGAGCAATGACACTTCAATTTGTTGCTGAATATTGGCGTTCAATTGAAAAACGTCCTGTTGTTGCCAATGTTCAACCAGGTTATTTACGTGAATTATTACCTATTGAAGCACCTGAAAAAGCTGAATCATTTTCATCAATTATCAATGATCTTGAATCAACAATTATGCCAGGTGTTACACATTGGCATAGTCCAAATTTTTATGCTTATTTTCCAACTGCTGTATCATATCCAGCTATTTGTGCAGACATTTTATCCGGTGGTATTGCTTGTATTGGTTTTTCATGGATTGCATCACCAGCATGTACAGAACTTGAAGCTATAGTTATGGATTGGTTAGCAAAAGCAATGGGTTTACCAGAATTTTTTCTTTCAACAGGCAATGGTGGAGGAATTATTCAAGGTACAGCTAGTGAAGCTACAATTGTAGCTTTACTTGCTGCTCGTTCAAGAATTTTTAATGAAAAAAAAGCTAAAGATCCAACATTAACTCTTGGTCGATTACTTGATCAATTAGTTGTCTATTGTTCTGATCAAGCTCATTCATCGGTTGATAAAGCTGCGTTAATTGTTGGTTGTCGATTACGTAAAATTGTTTCGGATTCGGATTGTGTTATGCATGGTGAACAAGTTGAAGCAGCTATAGCTGAAGATCGAGCTCAAGGTTTAATACCATTCTTTTTAGTTGGTACACTTGGTACAACTCCGACAGTAAATATTTATTTATTAAAATATTTTATTTTTTCATTTTAATTTATAGTGTGCCTTTGATGATTTGGTAACTGTTGGACGTGTATGTGAAAAAGAACATATATGGATGCATATTGATGCAGCTTATGCTGGAAATGCATTTATCTGTCCAGAATATCAACATTTATTAAATGGTATTGAATATGCTGAATCATTTGATTTTAATCCACATAAATGGATGTTAGTTAATTTTGATTGTTCAGCAATGTATCTTAAAGATCGAACACATTTTATCGATGCTTTTAATGTCGATCCACTTTATTTAAAACATTCATTTCAATCATCAGCACCTGATTATCGACATTGGCAAATTCCATTAGGACGACGATTTCGATCACTTAAACTTTGGTATATTTTTTTTTGTGGAAAATTCTTATTTCTTATTTTGAATCTTTTTAGGTTTGTTTTTCGAGCATTTGGTTTAGATGGTTTACGATCATATATTCGTAAACATATTCAATTGGGTGAACATTTTACGAAATTAATCAATAAAGATGAACGATTTGAGGTCGTCTTTCCAGCTGCGACTCAACTTGGTTTAATCTGTTTTCGATTAAAAAATACTCCAAATGAATTAAATGAACGTTTATTAAAAGCATTAAATGATGACAAACGAATTTATCTTGTACCATCAATGGTTAAACAAAAATTTATTTTACGTTTTGCTATATGTTCATGGTTAACCGAAGAAAAACATATAGAATTTGCTTGGAATGTCATTGATCAAGTTGCAACCAAACTTCTTCTTTCGAAATAATTATGAATATTATCATCGAAAGGAGAAAGACAATTTCATATTCTAAAATATTTACATTTTTATGTAAAATCTTCGATCTTTGAAAATAAATTATATATGCATAGATGATAACTTTAAATTCATATACAAACATGAGAAAATCTTGCTATTAAGTGTTATTGATAGTACACAAAATACTCTTCGCGAATGAATCAAGTAGCCTTCAAAAACAAAGTTGTTCTAACAATAGTTCAGATTGAATAAACAGCTTTTTATTAAGTATATATCCTATGGCAATATCGGAGATCAAATCTACTATATATGATTTCGAAACATATTATCATAGAAAATTAACTAGAAAAACATTAGTTTTTTTCAATGAATATTTTACCGTTATGTATTGCGTCTATAGATCGTATGTTAGAATATTCTTCATTACTATACGACCTTTCTTATAATAATATATTGACTGGTATACATAAATGATTATGTTAACTTTTAGAAGCATCAGAATAATTATCAATGAATAAATGAGATTAGGCGGTCTTTTATAGAATTTCTATTATAACTTTATACATTTTCGACGACGTAAAAGAAACAATCGAAGAAGAAAAAACAAATGAAATGTAATTGACACAGAAAACGTAAAGAATATATTTGTTTTGATTTATATTAAGAAAATTTACGAAGATGATGATGTTCAGATGAGGAAACAGATCGTGATGTTGTTAATGTTTGATTAGTACGATTATTTGATCGACGTTGAGAATTTGATCGTTGATTATTTTTAAGTACATCTCGATGTGTTTTATTTATATGTAAAGACATAAGATTAGCATCACAATATGTCAATGAACATAATGGACAACGAAACCATGAACCACATGATGCAAGAACATTCATTTCTAGGCATCTAGACAAAAAGAACAATTTGTGAATAGATATAAATTAATATGGAAAATACATACTGTCCATTTTGATGTTCATCAAGTGAAGATTGACTAACAAATGGCATATTACATTTTGAACATACATGATCATAATCTTGTAATGCATCTGGAATTTGAGTACGATTTGTAGATGTTGATGAAGATTCCGAACTATAAAAATAGTAGAAAACTTTGAAATGATTTCTATTATAAATAATAACAAAACGAACGATTCAGTTGGTTGATCCATCTCATCATTTTGTTTCCATGAGGATGAGTTAGCATTAGAATTTGTTTGTGACACAGATCGTTTTAGTGAAGTATTAGACCGTGATTTTCCAGATGTTGCATTTCCAGACTAAAAAATAATTGAATTAATAGTATATAACAGATCTCGAAATCGGTCCACTTCTTGATGGCCCGGCCCGGTCCAATACTATTTAAGTCCAGCCCAGGTCGGCCCGTCCGGCCAGGCCCGACAGTAACTAGAAAAAGGTATATTAACGGTATGACATATGTGATTCACCAAACTCTGATGTTTTATTTTATTAAATGAGATATTCGATCACAAAAAAAATTGAAAAGAAATACGAAACATATTGATAGCTTGATATCAATATGAAGTTGGGCGGCCCAACAAAAATCCGGCCCGCCGGATTCATTGGGTTGATTTGATGACGCCCGTCAGGTCTGAATGGTCGGGCACTCTAACCTAATCCGGGCCATTTGGCTAGGGGGCCCATTTCACGGCCTGGTATATAACAAAACTGTTTTCTTACTCGTCTAGTTGATATCGGTTGACTTTTCCTTGATGTAGATTGTTTTTGGTTATCTATATCATCTTGTTCAATTGATGTTGTCGTATTTGTTGATGATGCACAATCCGAATCATATCTTCGTTTAACAAGTGTTTTTTCAATTTCTGGTTTCGTATTAACTTGATTATCTAATTTTTCATCTTCTTGTTCTTCATCTTCATCTGAACTAATACCAAATGTATCAAATGAACGTGGTGTTGGAATAATTTTAACAACTGATTCATTTGTCCAATTATCATTTGAACGTGATGAACGATTATTTGTTGTTGATTTTGATGGTGATTGTCGTTGTTGAAATATATATTCTTCACTTGGATTATTCGTTGTAAATGTTGATTGTTGTTGAAATTGTTGACGAAGATCTTTTACTGTCATTGGTCGATTTATTGTACTCATACGTATTGGTTTACCATTGATGAAATATGTTCGAGAATCATCTGTTGTTTTAGAAAAAAATATTGATTCTTTTTTACGAGAATTATTTAATGATTCATTCGAATCCGAAGCTAATGAATCATTCGTATTATTCGATGGTAATTGTTGAACAATTTCTTCATTAGTAAAAAATGATGGATCTTGAATAACATTAAAATGTTGATCTTCACCAACACATTGACGATAATGAGATTCAGTATAGAGAGATATTAAATTAAGATAAACTTTTGAACATTTTGTACACCAATAATAACGTTTATCGGTTTTAACAATGATTTGATTAGGATTATTAATATCTTTGTTGGTTGTTGATGGTATAGAACGTTTCATTGTATTAATTGGTTCCTTTTTTATTGGAATTATTTCAGTAGTGCGTTCAGGTGAAAGAAATGGTGGACTAACGTTAGATTTACGCAAACGTTTTGATTTACGTTGACCAGATTTAACATCATCCTTTTCAGGTTTAATATCAAGAACAGGACATGTATTTGATCGATGAATCTCACGTTTGATACGTTTTGAAGCTACTTTTGGAGGAGTAGGTTTGATATCTAGAGAAAATATATCATCTATATATGAAAATTAACTGAAAATAAAATTACCTTCTTGTTTAACTGTTAATGCTCGATCATTTGAAGATGCTGAGCGTCGTCGAATCGTCTATAACAAATATGAAATTGAAAGATTAGTCTCATTTCTTATACCAATTATATTTACTTTTTTTCTTAAACTATTGTTTGACATTAAAAAATTAGATGATTCAGTTTTTGTTCTTTGATGTTGTTGTTTTAAATCATTTTCTAATTCTAATATAAAAGCATAGGGATTCGATTGCATAAATCCAATTGAATTCCATCCCCAGTCATATTGTGAAACATTTTTTTCATGTTGCTTTTTTTCATGTTCAATAAGTTCTAATGGTGATGAAAAACGTTCCGTACATAATAAACATGTATAACGATTCATAATGAAACGTCGTTCAGGTATGGATTTTTGTCTTTGATAATATTTACTCATATCAATATTTTGATTTTTT